CGTGCTTTGGGAGGCTGAGGTGAGTGGATTGCCTGAGCCCGTGGGTTCGAGACCCGCCTGGGCAACTTGGTGAGACCTCATCTCTATAATAAATGCAAAAAATTAGCTGGGCGTGGTAGTGCGCACCTGTAGTTCAGCTACTTGGAAGGCTGAGGCGGAAGGATCGCCGGAGCCCAGCAGGTCGAGGCTGCAGTGGCTGGGAGCGTGCCACTGCACTCCAGTCTGGACCATGGAGTGAGACTCTAACTCAAAAAAACAAAACAAAACAAAAAAACAAATTTCCCAGTGTATTTGTACACACATTTCTGTAGAGTCTGTACCTAGGAATTGGTAGGTCGTAGGGTATAAGTATCTTTACTGCTTTCAAAAACTGATTATAACAGTTTATCCTCCCAGCAACAAGGATTGAGTGTTCTCATTGCTGTATATTCTTAGGACTTGATATTTCCAGACTGTTAAATTTTTTAAATAACTGATTGATTACTTTTCTATAGAGAGGTAGTCAAGTTAAATTCAGACTGTTATAATAAATTTTCGCCAGTACTAGTTAGGTAGTAGTAGCTCATTATGGCTTTCATTTTCATTTCTTTGTGTGGGTGACATTGAGCAACTTTTACTTATGTTCGTTGACCATTTGAATTTCCTCAAGTCCCAATCTAATAATTTTTCTATGAAGTTGTCATTTTTTTCCCTTATCATGTCATAAGGGTTCTTTATAGATTCTGAATATTATCAGTCCTTTGTTGGTTATATTATGATATTTTCACTCATTCTGTGGTTATCATTTCATTTGCTTACGGTATCTTTTGATAAACTGAAGATTTTTTTTTTTTGAGTCGGAGTCTCACTCTATCATCCAGTCTGGAGTGCAGTGCACGCTCATGGCCATCGCAGCCTCGACCTGCTGGACTCAGGTGATCCTTCTGCCTCACCCTTCCAAGAGGGGAAATTTAGTGTCTTTTACCACTGCTGAGAAGTAAAACTTATTTCTCATTGGCAAAATGTGTTGATTATAATGATTACTATTTTGATTAATATCCAATTTGTTTCTCCATTCACCTTTGATGGACATTTGGATTTTTTTCCACCTTGTGGCCCTTACAAATAAAACTGCTCGTCCCCAATCCCCCTTCCCTCAGCCAATATCCATCAAAGGTGAACAGAGAACCTCATTTGGTGCATACATACCACTCAGCACTGGTAAAAGACACTAAATTTCAGTTAGAAGAAATGTGTTCAAGAGATCTAGCGTCCATCATAGTAACTATGGCTCATGATCATATATTATATGTTTGGAAATTGCTATGAGAGTGTCCAGCAGTCTTTGACCAAAAATGGCATGACCTTCATGTCCTGTCCTCCTTACTCACCTGATCTCGCCCCGGTGATTTGCCTTCGTTTCCCCGGGAGGAGAAACGTCCTCAAAGGGACGTTTTGCCGAGGTAGAAGAGGTGTAACCACAAATGGCGGCAGCACTAAGAGACATCAAAACTGAGAAAGCGTTCTGAGCAGTGGAAAAAGCACCTCGAGAGGTGCATTACACCAAGTGGAGAATACTTTGAGGGTGACTGAAGTTTCAATGTGTAAGAATAAATACACAATTTTTTATAAATAAATGCAGGACTTTTTGGATTTGCCCTCATATTTGCCAGCACTTGTTATGTTTTGTCTTTCTGGTAATAGCCATGTTAGCTGACGGTGTGAGGTGATACTTATTGTGGTTTTAATTTGCATTTCCCTGATAGTGATGTTGGGCATTTTTTCATGTGCCTGTTGACCATTTATAAGTCTTCTTTTGAGAAATTTCTTTTCAGTTCTTTGTCCATATTTTAATCGAGCTTGAGTTCCTTATATATTCTGTATATTATCTTCTTATCAGATGTATGGTTTGCTAATATTTTCTCCTGTTCCTTAGGTTGTCTCTTCATACTGTTGATCGTTTCCTTTGCTGTGCAGAAGAATCTTAGTTTGATGTAACCCTATTTGTCTATTTTTTCCTTTGGGGTCATATTCAAAAAAACTTTGGCCAGACCAAATATCATGGAACATTTCGCGTTTTCTTACAGTTGTTTTACAGCTTCAGGCCTTACATTTAAGTCTTTAATTCATGTTCAGTTGACTTTTGTTTATGGTGAGAGAAAAGGTCTAATTTCATTCTTCTGCATGTGGATGTCCAGTTTTCTCAGCACCATTTATTGAAGAGACTGTCCTTTTCCCATTGTGTTTTCTTGGCACCTTTGTGAAAAATCAGTTGTCTGTGTGTGGATTTAGTTCTGGATTCTATATTCTTTTTTGTTTTTTTGAGTCGGAGTCTCACTCTGTCGCCCAGACTGGAGTGCAATGATCGCTCCTGGCCACCGCAGCCTCGACCTGCTGGGCTCCGGCGATCCTTCCGCCTCAGCCTTCCAAGTAGCCGGAATTATAGGCATGTGCTGTCATGCCCGGCTGATTTTGTGATTTATTGTAGAGATGAGGTCTCACTGCCCAGGCGGGTTTCGAACCCGCGGGCTCAGGCAATCACTCACCTCAGCCTCCCAAAGGCGCGGGATTACAGGCTGAGCCACCGAGCCCAGCTTGGATTCTATATTCTATTCCATTGGTTTATGTGTCTGTTTTTATGTCAGTACCATGCTGATTTGGTTACCATGGGTTTGTAGTATATTTTGAAATCAGGTAGTATGATGCCTCCAGCTTTGTTCTTTTTGTTCTGGATTGCATTGGGTCTTCAAGGTCATTTGCGATTCCATATGAATTTTAGGATTGTTTTTTCTTTTTCTGTGAAAAATGTAATTGGAATTTTGATGTGGTTTGCTTTGGGTAGTGTGGACATTTTAACAATGAGCATAGAATATCTTTCCATTTATTTATATTCAATTTCTTTCATCAATGTTTTATAGTTCTTTTTTTTTTTTTTTGACTTGGAGTCTCACTCTGTGGTCCAGACTGGAGTGCAGAGGCTATTCCTGGCCACCGCAGCCTCGACGTGCTGGGCTCTGGCGATCCTTCCGCCTCAGCCTTCTGAGTAGCCGGAATTACAGGCACGCGCTACCACGCCTGACTAATTTTTTGATTTTATTGTAGAGATGAGGTCTCGCCTGCCCAGGTGGGTCTCGAACCCGC